GAGGTGCCATGCACTGCATGGTCGCCAGCTGTCTGCTCTCTGCCAGGCGTCTGAACTCCTTGAGGGCAGAGCCTGGATCGGTTTCTGTTTTTCTGTTTGTAATCCTAGCTTCCAACACATACATTCCAGGACAAGTAGCTGGTAAATGTGTGTTAAACAAACAAACATTTCAACAAGAAACTAAAAGGGAAAATCAAGTTGAAAGATAAAGATCAATGATTCCTAAAAAGGTAATTGCCAGATAATGAGAGTCTCTTGATAACTGAGGATCAAAAACTGCAAAATTCCTCCCAAGATAGAATTTTTCTAAAAAAATAAAAGATGCTGATCTTTTTAAAGGCTTATCGTATTGTTGATTCTAAAAAACAATTCTACACACAAAAAAAACCAACAATATGACCAAGTAAACATGCCAAAGAATAAAATGCTAAATTATTCATCATACTTATTTCTAGTCAGGGTAAGGTGACAGTGTTTGGTCAGTTAACGGATTTTATCCAATATATTTAAGGTTTCTGGAGAAGATCCGGTGAACTAGCATGGTGCATGAGTTGTGATTATTATCATGATCAGAGTGATTTGTAATAACAAATATTCACAATCTCTAAATGATTGTTCTGAAGGTAGTGTCCTTGGGAAGCAATTTTTTTTTTCAGAGATGTTGCCAATTAGCAGGACACTTTAATACTCCTTATTCTGGAATCACCTTCAGAATCATTCAGGGGACACCTGATATTTGGCAGAAGAAACTCACATGTCACTATATTTATCTTGTATTGTTCCAATGAGAGAACTAAAATTATATGGCCCGATTTTCCAATCAGTTTCAACACAATAGAAAGAATAGTCTGCATATCTGAAAATATCTATCTAAGAATGCAATGAACTTTTGGCATGTACCATTTTCACCAACAATGTTTAAGACCATCCCTTATAGAAGTTATAAAAAGAGGATTATTTCAAGGTCCTTTGAATCTGAGATTTGTGATTCTAAGAATATGTGAACAATATTTTATAGTCACACAAAGTTTTTATTACAATCTGCGGGCATCGAGCTCTTACTTCTACAAGTCTGGGTTTGAATGCCACCTCATTATGGAAATCTTCCTGTATTAACTACTGCCCATACCACCTTCTTGTTACCCTGTTAGCCAGTTCTGCTTTTCTCATAGAACTTCTATCTGATGTATTCCATATTTACATACTTTTTTATATTTTATCTGTTTCTCAGAACAAGAACATAAGCTCCAACAGAGAAGAGACTAGCTTAGTAATGTTCATTGTTCTAACCCCAGCAATTAAATTAGAATCTGTCATGAAGTATGTGCTTAGTAAATTATAAAATAAAAATTAGCTATATGTATTTATATATACATACTATATATACATATATATTTAATTACAAATGTGAGAGTCAAATACAATTCCACTATTTTTATACATAATTATATATTCAAAACTTGCACAATGGTCAACATATCGTATATCTAATAATTAATGAAAGAATGGATTTTGGCTATCATTTGTATATATTTTCTCTTTTTTTTTTTTTTAAAGTTTTTACATAACTCAGCATTTTTTATCTAAAATACAATTACAAAGCTGAATAACTCATTTCATTCACAAGATTTAGCTATCATCCCTTGATGACATTGCCAAAAATCTAACTCATTTTAAAATAGTAAAGATGCATTTCCACTGAAGCAACACAAGAATATATGCCACCGGCTATAAAAAAACAAACGAACAAACAATTGATGCAAATCAGCCTGATTTGATCATAACTCAATGCATAAATGAAAGAAAGTATCACATAGTACCTCATAAATATGAACACATATCATTATTCTAAAAAATAAAATTAACCTAAAAAAGTGAACTTATTATGTCCTATTTCATCCTTACCTCTCTAAACAGCATCACTGAAAAGTATCATAGTTATTTTTGGAGGCAGAATGCCATAAGGAATTAAAATCAAAACATTCAGCCAAACCTTCCCTGCAAAAAACCAAAGTTAGATGACTTGTTTTTTCTAATTTCAAGATATACTACAAATCTATAATGATTAGGACCATGTGGTATTGGCAGAGGGATAGACACATAGATTAATCAAACAGAAATGACTGTCCAGAAATACACACTAATTTATGGTCAATTACTTTTACACAACATGGCCAAGACAATTCCATAGGGGAAAAGATAAGCTTTTTAATAAGCAATGCTAAGATAACTGAATATCTGCATGCAAAAAAAAATGACTTTGTATCCTCACCCTGCACTTATCCAGAAATTAAGTCAAAATGATAATAAGCCTAAATATAAAAACCTAAAATTACAAAAACCCTTAGAAGACAACATAGAGTAAATCTCTGTGGGCTTGGATTAGGAAATTATTTCTTTATGCAGTATGAGGGATTGAATCCAGGAGCATTCTAGCTCAGAGCTAGGGCTACTTCAACTTTCAGTCTTCCTCAATCTCTCAGCCTCTTGAATAACTGTGATTATAAGTGTGTACCACAACACCTAGCTAGGAAATAATTATTTAACTATAATGCCAAAACATAAGAAATAGAAAAAAATGATAAATTGGGCTCCATTAAAATTAAAAATATAAACTACCCCATTTACAGTAGCCTTATAAAAAATTGGAAACTTGGAAATCTATTAACAAAAGAGGTGAAAGACCTCTTACAATGAAAATTACAGAACACTAAAGAAAAAAATTGAGAAGACCTTAGAAGAAGGAAAGAACTCCCATGCTCTTGGCTCGAAAGAATTAATACTGTCAAACCATCTATACTACCCAAAGTATTATACAGATTTAGTGCAGTTCCTCTAAAAATCCCAATGATATATTTCATAGAAATAGAAAAAGCCACCATGAAATTCGTTTGGAAAAATAAAATACCCAGAATAGCCAAAACAATCCTTATAAAGCAAAGTGAAGCAAGAGGCATCACAATATCAGACCTTAAATTATACTACAGAGCCATAGTAGCAAAAATGGCATGTTATTGGCACCAAAACAGATATGTAGACCAATGGTATAGAATAGAGGACACACAGACAAACCCACATAAATACACTTATCACATACTAGACAAAGGCACCAAAAACATACATTGGAGAAAAGAGAGCCTCTTCAACAAATAGTACTGGGAAAACTGGAAATCCATATGCAGCAAAATGAAATTAAACCCCTGTCTCACTCTGCACAAAAATCAATTGACATGTATAACTAATTAGAACAAATTTTTAAATTTTTTTAAAAATTAAAAACATGGTCTTCAAAAGACACTAAAAGTTAAGCCACAGAATGGGAGAAAATATATGTAAATCATATATCTGATATACTACTGTGATCAATTTATAACTCAGCAAGATATCTCGATTTAAGCATAAAATTTGAGTATTTTACCAAAGAATAGATGGCCAATAAACACATGAAATAGTGCCCAATATCATTAGTAGAGAAATTAAAATTCAGACTACCATTCACACTCACTAAAATGACTGTAATCAGAAAGACCAACAATAACAGATGAGGATGTAGAGAAACTGACATGAAATGTTGATGGGGGCAGCCATTTTGGAAAACACTTTTGCAGTTTCTTAAAAAGTGAATTTACCATATAGCCCAATCACTCTACTTATACGTATCTATCCAAGAAACATGAAAATATATAACCACTCTAAGATTTATCTGCTACATATTTATAGAAGTATCATTCATAATCCAAACTTAGAAAAGTTTGGATTCACCAACTATTGAATGTATAAATGAAATACTTACATTATGCAAGTATTAAAATGTACCATGCATACACATTTTAATAGAGTTTTATATAACTATGCTAAAGTATTATTCTTTTGAAGTCCTATAAACAATTATATATATTTTAACACATTCACAAGGATATGTGCATATGTGTAATTACAAATTAGCATTCCTTCAATTTTCAGCTCAGATACAAATCTAGGTTGAAATTCTATCTTTACTCCTTTTTAACTCTGTGCTCCCAGGTTAATTACTTAACTTCTTTGGGTCTTTAGTAGTAAAATATGAGCAATGGTATACACATTAAAGGACTGTGTTGAGGGAGATGATAAAATATTTAAAATGCTTAGCACTGGGCTAGCTAGCATCATGTGAGTCCTTAATAAATTATACCCAGGATTATTACTTATCATTTTGTGTTTTATCTGAAGATCTAATTTTTTACTAGTGCTCATGAGGTGGGGAAGGAAGCCATTTGGTGCAGTGGACAAATTTACTTCTGCCTTCCCAGCTGTCTGGTTCAAATATTTCACTTAATCTCTCAGAGTCTCAATTGCCAAAATCTGTAAAAGAGGATCATGTTATTTATCTCACAGGACTTATGACTAGGAAAATTATATGAATGTGCTTTGTAAATTGTGAAGTACAATAAAATTATAAAGCGCTGTATTATTATGATCTCTGTCCCATCCCCACCACCTACATTATATTTATACAAGACCAGAAAATCTACCACTAGGGTACTGCAGAGTCATGGCTCAACCTCTAAATTGATAATGAAAGAATCTCTTCATGGCTGTGGTAGTAGTGGCAGGTCGTTTTTGAAATATATTTTATTCCCTTGCTTTTGAACACAAAGTGAGAGGAGCCATGTCACTCCCTATCTGAAACACTCTCTGCCTGTCCTCATAAGCTATCAGGCTCAGCTAAATATGGCCCTGGCCACTATGCTAATAATCCCCACTGGTTCTGAGACCTCCATCCACCACCGATGTGACATTCTTTGTGTTCAAATGTCTAGCTGACGTGTGATGCTTAAAACAGCCCATGCTTTCACCCCCTCTGCATTGTCACAGCCCTGGATCACCACTCTTAAAAGGCTACTGCAGCCACTCCTAGCACCAGTTGCCGACCAGCCTGCCCGCCTGCCTCCCTGCCTGCCTCTGGCTACCTTGAATGCCTAGTTCTTCCAGCTCCTTGGGGGTCTGACGAAGCAGGGACCATGTCTACCTTTGGCTACAGAAGAGGACTTAGTAAATATGAATCCATCGATGAGGACGAACTCCTGGCCTCCCTGTCAGCTGAGGAGCTGAAGGAGCTAGAGAGGGAACTGGAAGATATTGAACCTGACCGCAACCTTCCGGTGGGGCTAAGGCAAAAGAGTCTGACTGAGAAAACGCCCACAGGGACTTTCAGCAGAGAGGCACTGATGGCCTATTGGGAAAAGGAGTCCCAAAAACTCCTGGAGAAGGAGAGGCTGGGGGAGTGTGGAAAGGTAGGCTCCTTGGGACTTTTCCTTAGCTGCTCCCACTGCCCTTCCCCAACCCCAAGCCCAGACACTCTGTTTCCTCTAACTTTTCAGTCCTCATGACTTTAACCTTCTTATAATTCATTTGTACTTATTACTGAGACATTTCTCAGGCTGAAATAGACTTGTAACTTTTGTAGCCACCCATGGATCATACTAGTTTAAAAATTCTTAGCTGGGCCTTTTTTTTTTTTTTAACTAAATGTGGGAACCTCAAGAGGGAAATTATTCACAATCAAGGTATGAGTTTAAATATTTTGCCAAACCTAAGTCTTATTTTAGTTGAAAGTTGGTGACAAGACATAGTATCTGTTTCTGTGTAGTTTCTATTCAGTTCCATTTGTTCTGTGTTGCTTTGACTGCAGTAATGGCTACAGTAAAAAAAATAGTTCCATGTTTCTAACACCAAGAAGTGTAGGCTGGTGGGAAGCCCTTGGGGCTGAGCCAAGGGGCTACTACTCCTGCTCTGTCCCCAAACAGCTAAACTTTGACTAGATGGTCACTTCTGTAGGATTCTTTCTATGTGTACATTGAGGGAGCTCAGTACATGTATCTTTTGTGAATCAAGAAGCCCTTTGAGATTTCGATAAGTTCTAGACTTCTTCAAAAAAATGCACGTGTGTGTGTGTGCAAACACACACACACACATACACACACTTTTGCATACAATTTCAAAATGATGAAAGCCCTTTAAGGATCCAGGTTAAGTACGCTTGTGGAATCATCCCTGAATCCTTTCTATTTTATGATGGTGATTCTTGAGGCTAGGAAACGTGGTCTTATCAGAGACCTCAGGTTTATTAAGCTCTTATGTACTGCCCAGTAAACAGTGACTTTCAATCTGCCAAAAAATCATGACTGGAAGGAGGTTCAAAAAACTATGCTCTGGGAAAGTCATTAGACCAAGAAGGATGTTATAATGTAAGAAATGTTAACATAACAAATAATTCTGAATTTGTGGAAGAATACAAATCAGGAGAATAGTTTAAAATTCTTGCACTCCATGGAAATCACCTACAATCAAAATGGCTTCATGCCATCCACAAGCTGCCACAGTACTAATCTGGGTACTGTTGGGTGATCTTGATGATAGGTGTGTGAGACACATTTGCAGCAAGATAGATATGTGTGAGTTTTGTCCACGTCAATCATTGCAGGAAGGGCCACTGGGATCAGAACAGGGTCTGCCAAAGCCACAGTCACGGCCTGTATTAAGAAACTAGAAGGGGAAATGAGAAGGCACACACATGACCAGTCAGGATTTGGGCCGGTCAATTCCTCCACAATCATAATGTTAAGAAGTTTTATTTTTTATTTTTTTGTTTTTAAATCTGATGTGGGAATGATTGTTAAAAGTTTGGTGAAATAAAGTGGCATGTTTATTACAGTTATTAAAGCATTTCCTTCATAAAAAGAATAAAATTGTCTTTGAATACCCAGGACATATAGACAACTACAGCAATAACCCGACAAAGGCATTTTAATGTCATAATGTCATGACAATGGTGGGAACCAAAGGACAAGCTGTTGTCAGCTGTTGGTGAAACCCACCTGATCCTGCCAAAGGTTTTGCTGATCTCTGCCAGTGGCTTATCAGCCCAATTAGAGAGGCTGTCTTGTTTATGAACTTTGATTCCTTTCTCAGCTAGTTAGCTTTCCTCCCACCACACTTTCCCGTATCTGGCCAGCTGTCCCTCTAGTCACAAGGAGTTAAGGGCAGAAGCTTGCTGATGGAGGGTGTAAATCCATTCCCAGCACAGGAAAAGACTCAAAGCAGCTGAGGAGGGCAGAGGAGCAGGGCAGCTGTGTAAGTGACAAGCTGTACATCAGGGACCATGAGAAGGAGCTGGGGGTTTGGGGAGGTCAGGCTCCTGGCTCTGTAAAGGCTTATGAAAATCCTGTGCAATACGTGGCTTCTGCCCACCCTGGTTCACACAAATGTGTGCTGCGTGAAAGCTCCAGGGGCCCAGATGGACACACAATGGTCCAGCCATCCAGCTCCCCTCATTTGAGTAGCTGTGGGATCTCTGCAGGTGCCAGTGAGTTTCTTCACATTATCTCATTTCATTCTTACCCTTTTGTGCAGGAGAAGTGAGACTAGGAGAGCTTAAGAAACTTATTTGAGGTTAACAGCTTGTAAGAAGAACTGAAATTCAAACTAGATTTTGTTGGCACAAAGACTATGGTTCTTAAAATTGTGGGTGCCCAGCCAGTAGCATCAGCATCACTCTGGAACTTCATAAAGCTGCATGTTTCAGGGCTACCCAATGTCTTCTGAATGAGAAACTCTGGGAAGGGAACCCATCAGCCCTCCAGGTGATCATGACTTTAAAAATCACTTAACTCTACTGTAGTTTCTTTGAGACAGAGAAGTTTAGTGAGTCACCTAAAGTCAACCAGATTTTGTTTTATTTTGCTTTATGGGCAGAAACAGAACCAGAACTAAAAACCAAGTCTCTTGCCTCTTTGTTCATATAGTGATGCCAGAGAGGCGATCAGGAGAAATGGCTGGCCACCTCCCTCTTGTAGCCCTACTCATTCTCTAAAAGTACGTGCTTCTCCCTATTTTCTCCCTGACCACCTCCCCGTTCCCACCTCACCACCCAACTTCCCACCTCCATTCTCCAAAGTGATGGCAAACAGGACATGTATATCCCCCAGTGCAGGAATAATTTATAAAGTTTAGAGGCAAAGTTTCTGAAACTTCATGTCCACTTCCCCTCTCTAGGTCCCTTTCTGATGTTCTTCTTCTAGACATTCCCCCTTATGAGGTAACTGACCATCTCAGATGGCTCAGGACTATCTAGATTTTACAACTAACAATCCTGCATCTTAGGAGGCTCTCCAGACTAAGACACACAAAGCAGGACAGTTGACTGACTGCCTTACCTCCACCCGACCTGATCATGCTTTCTCCAAGGTTTGGTCCCAACAGTGAGCAGCTGTTAATCCATGTCAGTTTAGATTCCTTCAGTAAACAAAACATTTGTGGAGTCCCTGCTACATGCTAAACACTGTGCTAGGTAAGCAAACCTGACATGGTCCCTGCTGTCACGGGAATAAGAGTCTATTAGAAAAAATAACATGTATTTATAATAAAATGTGATAGGTAGTTTGTTGGGGGAGATAAAATACTATGGGGAACACATTGCAGGGATAATTTGAAGGAGCATCAAAGAAAGCTTTCTATGAGGCATCATTTAGGTGTTACCTGACAACTCACATTGCTAGATAAAGGATCAGATATTATCTTTCCAGGTATATTTCGAGGGGGAAACATCTCTTGCAAATAGAGCCTAAAGGACTTCTGAAAACCAAAGAGCATGAAATGTAATAGTGGCAGAAAAGGCAGCATACCTTGGATTTTGAGAGAGATTCCTTTTCTCCAAAGGCTAAAAAACTAAAACACACTTTCAGACATGTGTGCACACACACACATAATTGACAGGGGCTAGGATTATAAAAACATGTATAAAGGGATTTGGGGTGGTAGTGAGAACTGTCTGTCTGCAATTCTTCCTTCCTCCAGGTAATCCATTTATTCCACTGCTGGCCCTCTCTTACTCCTCATCTATGCCAAGGGGCTTGACCACAGCCAAACTCTTTCTTTGTGTGTGTGTGTGTTGTTGAGATGTGACTGGTAGAGAGCCACCACCAGTCCCCCTTCCCCGACACACACACACACACACACACACACACACACACACCATCCCTCTCCTTTCTGCTCCCAAAGAAGTAAGCAAATTAAAACTGGATAAGTCATCCTAGGAGGGGCTGACCCCTTCCCAGGCCATCACTTGGTGCCTGCCACTCCACACAAGTAGATTTCTGGAGACTATTTTGTGATAGCAACTGGGCAAACAAACTTGGAGACAGCTGCAGTGTTTTCCAAAGCTTGATGCACATGCCTTAGGCGGCAGCAGCCCTTAGAGTCGAAAACAACCTTCCAATGTAGAGGGAAGCTTCAGAGCTTTGGAGACAGGGGAGAACCCAAGGGCTTCAGAAAGGATAAAGGACTCAAAAGAGAGCATGAGGGAAAATCAGGCTCTGTCAGCACTTTCCAGACATTTTTTTTTTTAAATCATTAAAGATAACAAGAAAAAGAAAGAAGGGGTCATGTGGGCGTCTTTGTACAGTGAATCCTGTAAACAGGAAAGACAAAGACAGTATGAAATTGTGTTTACCTGAAAGTCCTTTGTAAATGATATGTGTAAAATAACTTAAAAACACCAGACTGGGCAAAGACTTGCTTCACAATTTTCTACTATTTTCTGCTGATCTGTTACTGGTTAGAATCTAGTGGGTGCCAGAGTGATCTTCTTTCCCTCCTGGTTGTCTGCAGTCCATCTCACTGAACTCTGAGCTCACTAGAAGTTTCCAAGTGATTGCTGGAAAAGGTAATCTGAATGTTTTTCTGCATAGAGCCTGGTTTTGACCTCCCTGCTGTCAGGAGCAACAGTTCACAGGTGATATGGAGGCTCTGGGTCCCTGGGCCTGGCTCTATCACAGAAGTAGATAAACGTGGAGGAGTAAATGACACCTCAGCTTCTGTCTACACTGAGACAAGAGAAGCAGAAAGCAATTGGCCCAGGTTACATATGCTATTGCCAGAAAATTTGGGGGAGAATTTTTTAACATTAGATAAAGCAAACACATTACCACAGTGTGTGTGTGTGTGTATGTGTGTGTGTGTATGTGTGTGTGTGTATGTGTGTGTGTGTGTGTGTGTGTATATATATATATATATAGATAGATAGATAGATAGACAGATAGACAGACATATTTTATTTTTTTGCTCAGGATGGAGAAATAAGAAGGGACCAAGCACTGATGCCAGATGGAGGCCTGAATTTGCTAACTCTAAGTAGACAAGGAATCAAGTAGTGCAGAGCCCATAGTGGGAAGACAGAGTAAATTATCAGTAGTTTTCCAAAATTGAGGTTCTGACCATTTGCTCACATGGCAAAATGATAATATATTGGTACTCAACAAGTCGAATGCTTGATATGCTGTGCAAAACAAATGCGCATAGAAAAAGTTGTTTGATGGTTATATAACAAAATATGGACCTTGGCCACCTCAAGGAGAGAGCTCAGAAGCAGGGGATTATTAATATCTTTCATTATAGACTTGTTACTTGTCATATGCTACTGTTATAAATTAATAAAATGTGCATTAAAACTCTCCAGGTTGCAGAAGAAGACAAAGAAGAGAGTGAGGAAGAGCTAATCTTCACAGAGAGTAACAGTGAGGTTTCTGAGGAGGTGTATACAGAGGAGGAGGAGGAGGAGGAACAAGAGGAGTCGCAGGAGGAAGAGGAGGAAGAGGAGAGCGAAGAGGAAGAGGAAAGAACCATTGAAACCCCCAAAGGGATCAACGGAACTGTGAACTACGATGGTGTCAATTCTGACCACTCTAAGCCAAAGACATTTAAAAGTCAGATAGAAAATATCAATTTGACCAACGGCAACAGCGGGAGGAACACAGAGTCACCTGCAGCCATTCACCCTTGTGGAAATCCGACGGTTATTGAAGATGCTTTGGAAAAGATTAGAAACAATGACCCCGACACCACAGAAGTCAACCTGAACAATATAGAGAACATCACGTCGCAGACCCTCACCCGCTTTGCCGAGGCCCTTAAGGACAACACGGTGGTGAAGACGTTCAGCCTGGCCAACACGCACGCTGACGACAGCGCGGCCATGGCCATTGCCGACATGCTCAAGGTCAACGAGCACATCACCAACGTCAACGTGGATTCCAACTTCATCACAGGAAAGGGGATCCTGGCCATCATGAGGGCTCTGCAGCACAACACGGTGCTCACCGAGCTGCGCTTCCACAACCAGAGGCATATCATGGGCAGCCAGGTGGAGATGGAGATCGTCAAGCTGCTGAAGGAGAACACGACGCTGCTGAGGCTGGGATACCACTTCGAGCTCCCAGGACCAAGAATGAGCATGACGAGCATTTTAACGAGAAATATGGATAAGCAAAGGCAAAAGAGGATGCAGGAGCAAAAACAGCAAGAGGGATATGATGGAGGATCCAACCTTAGGACCAAAGTCTGGCAAAGAGGAACGCCTGGCTCTTCACCTTATGCATCTCCCAGGCAATCTCCCTGGTCATCCCCCAAACTCCCCAAGAAAGTGCAGACTGTGCGGAGCCGACCTCCATCTCCTGTGGCCACCCCACCTCCTCCTCCACCTCTTCCTCCCCAGAAGCTGCCTCCACCTCCCCCTCCACCCCCTCCTCCTCCACCACCTCCTCCAGCTCCCCCTCTCCCAGAGAAAAAGGTCATCACCAGAAATATAGCAGAAGTCATCAAACAACAGGAGAGTGCCCAGCGGGCACTGCAAAATGGACAGAAAAAGAAAAAAGGAAAAAGGGTTAAGAAACAGCCAAACAATATCCTAAAGGAAATAAAAAATTCTCTGAGGTCCGTGCAAGAAAAGAAAATGGAAGACAGTTCCCGACCTTCTACCCCACAGAGATCAGCTCATGAGAACCTCATGGAAGCAATTCGGGGAAGCAGCATAAGACAGCTAAGGAGGGTAAGTCACCCCAGAACAGAACTTCAGACACAGAGTTAATAAGTGAGTTGTACCCCGTTGCCTGGTGGTACCAAAGTCACCTCTCCAAATACTTATTAGTATTCTAAATATTTCAGTATGTGAGAGCAAGTATACCAAGCAAGGTGTCAGGCGCAGGTACATGAATAAGCACATTTCCATTTGAGGGCCGTGCTTGAGCCACCTGCTTAGCACCTCAGTTTTTTGAGGGCCAAGACCCCTTTAAAACATTCCAACATATAAAAAATCCAATTTCCTTAATATGAAAGTCAGGGAGTACAGTCTACATTCCAAGAGGATTCATCACTTGTCAAAAATTTTAAACAAAGTTGCAAGCAGGACAGCCTTGATGTATAATATAAAATGTGGATTTATATGCAGCAATAATCAATCTATATTTGGGTTTTTCTCACAATATACTGGTAGAGACAGACCCTATGGATATCTATCTATGTGTGTGTGTGTATGTGTTTTGTGTGTATGTGTTTTGTGTTGCTTCATTGAAAGAAATTCCCTGTATTTGTAGGTGGAAGTTCCAGAAGCTCTGCGATAAAAACAGTCTCTAGAAGAGTATGCAGAACTGTTCATGGTGTTAAGTAAAAATACATCATGGGATGTTTTCAGTTGCCGCCTTTAATTTGAAATGTTCTCTGACTTTAAAAATAGCTTCACCCAGAAATTCCAAAGAGAATTTAAAGGAACAATCAGCATATTTCTTCTGTAAATATGAAAATAAAGTTTTGGTTTTTTTTTTTTAATTTTCGTGGGATTTGTGTGGACAAGAAGTGGTTAAAAATGCTCTTCATATCTCTGGATGTGTTGGTGACTTGGAGCTGTCAGGAGTTTAAGAAATGTGCTATTATTTTTGTAATCCAAATAAATTTGGATCAAAGGGTTATTTTTTCTTTTTTAAAAAAAGTCAGACTAATATTTTTCTGTAAGTTGGTACATTTGTCAGATATGTATGTAACATTGCTGAATATTAAAAATATTACATTCTCACTCAAAAGGTTTGAGTCCTTAGCATTTGCCTTTTGTTATTTCATTATGTCTAAGAAATTTTGACCATATCTCTTTCTAAAGGACTGGGATCAAGAACTTTCTTTAATGGGCTCTTGTGCCAGGCACTGTGGCAAATGCCTATAATGCCAGGTACTTGGGAGGCTGAGGCAAGAGGATTGCAAGTTTAAGGCCAGCCTTGTCCTCTTAGCGAGACTCTGTCTCAACATTAAACATTTTTTTTTAAAGGCTGGGGGTGTGGCTCAGTGGTCAAGCAGCCCTGGGTTCAATCTCCAGTACAGCCCTGCCAAATAGGTTCTTGTAACAATAAAACAAAAGGATAAAAGGGTCACCTTTATCATTCTGGATTCATTGATATTAGAGCCAGGAAGAAAGTGGATGGACCTGTGTTTCCATTAGGTATGATGGAAGCCAGTGGTTAATTCAGTCATTTATTATGAAAACCAACTATTTCTGAGGGGAGTAAGTGGAAAGTTAGGAAGTTTCTTGATAGGGAGCAAATAAGTGCCAAAGGAATGCCTGAGAGGCAAACCCCCAAATTCCCAGCCACCTTTGGACTAATGCTAAAGACACACCATTCAGGTCTCCCTGGGAACCCTCCCTGGACAGTGGGTCTCAGTGGTGTTTTGCTTCTTTTTTCCCCTCATACAACCGTGGTGATGCCGACATCCATGAAACATACCTGATGACATGGCTGATGTATTTCCAATTCCCTGCTATCCTCCCCCTCCATCCTGTGTTGATGGAAAGGCATCCAAATTCCCATCAAAGAAAGATGTATCAGAGATTACCTTGGCTCCACTCTAGTTCTCCCTCGTCATGTATGAAAGCTATAAATCCTTTCTAAAGTCCTCTGTATTAACTATGATTAGCCATGTATCCTTTGTTTCCTACAGATTAGAAAAGCGGTCTCCACAAGGTCTCAGGGCTATCCATTCAATAATGATTTGCTTCATGGACAGAGTTTTGGGTATCTCCAATCAAGAAGACTGTGTTTCACTAGAAATTTTCTTTGACACTTCCTTGGTTTGTTTCTATAAGTTTATTCCCATTGTTTATCCATTCTCTTACTGAATAAGAATAGCCATTGTAATCACTTCAAGAGGATTCCAGAGGCCCAGTGAGCTAAGAGGGTGGTAGGTGAGTGATGTCTCCAGTATATTTCACAGCCTCAAAATGCGGTGTCCCCATTGTATATACAAAGAAACTAACGCACAGAAAAGTTAGGAAACCATGACTACATAACGCAGGTTCTTTCCATGTCATTGCCCCTCAATCCTTCCATCCTGACTGGAATCCTCCAAAGGAGGATTGGATTCCTCCAACCACACGAAGTTGGTTATTTCCCTTGGAAGTCATTCTCTGTTTCACTTCCTTCTATTAGCATTCACAATCATCATGTTTACTCTTGCTTAAAGAAATAAGTTAAGTTTAGGTTTTCAAAGGTGTGTGTGTGTGTGTGTGTGTGTGTGCACTCATGCATAAATTTAGACTATAAAGTCAAGTCAGACCTTTCTTTCCCCTAATACCGTGTGCACAATGTCAGGGTTCTCCTACATGGAGGGGCGGGAGTGACAGGTGAACAGCTTCCAATTCCATCCTGTTGAGGCAGAGGAGCAAGTGTCTGCTGACAATCTGGTCATTGATAAGAGCATACAGGAGTCCCAGAAAAGGTATGTGGCAGCCCTCCGGAATGAGGAGGGAAGAGCTAGTGTTGTGTTGACAGGAGCTGGTTGGACTGGAGAGACTGGCCAGGCCTTCTCCTCAGAAAGGAGTGACTAGAAGACATATTTTCTCTTTTGCATCATAAAAAGCTACCTTGCTAGAGCTTTTCTCCTACTTCAGAGATTGCAGAATGCGCTTTTACTAGGCATTCTACAAAATCCAAATAAAGATATGGGCCTTCACATTCAATCCACAAAAGAGAACACTATAAAGACCATAATAAGACATAGTTATGCTTATCATTAAGGAAAAAAACATTTCTAGAATGTGCTATTGCAGAATCTAGTACTGTAAACATGTAAGATTTTATGTTAGTCATCATTCAACACAGGATGGGGACCCTAGTTCATACTCTCTGCAAACTCACAAAGCTGGTACGAAACTAATTAGTTCATCTTCTATAAAGAGCTTTCAAATCACTGGGAGAAAGGCTATCCAAGACCCGATGAGACGTTTAGGCTATGATTTATACATACGTGTGGACCTCCGAAAATACACCTCATTCTGATTTGAAATCGGGCCAGAATGCTGAGTCTCACACTGCTTCACAGGCCCTGCTGCCATAGGTATTTAATAACTCTGTGTCAGCAGGATCTTGATTTAACACTTGCCCTGAGATGGTTGCTATGAGGGTGAAAGGAAGAGGTAGTGACAGGCTGCAGTGTCTATATGGAGATATTCTAAAGACAAGGTGATCAATATGCTCTTGAAAAGAGCTCGTAACTTATTCCTTTTGTGACATAGTTAAAACTATTTCTTCTTTGTTTCTCTGAGGCTGCTAAGGTGGATTTTTAGGTCCATTAATCACCACATACATTATATAAAAGGCTAAGGATTGACCTGAGACTTAGAAGGATCCAAAATATGTACCACAATTGGTGCACTTAAAAATCTGCAGACATTTCCTGAGTGCATACCATGTTCCAGAAACTCCTACAGATGCTGGAGAGGCTTGGTGAGCAAAAGAGTTCAAGCCCCATCCTCATGTGACTATATTCCATGTAAGGAGGGACCTCATACTATTCTTTCTGGCACCTGTGCATGTCCTTATCCAGTGAATCCTATGGAGGAAGAACTGTGCCCAATGCTGGGGAGACCAGCTTGAACTAGAAAATGTCTTCTACCTCAAAGTAGTGGAAATCCTAAGAAATCAACCTTTCCAGATGAATAAGAAGAACTCTTCTTCATCTATGAGCTGTACAAAAAAAGGTGTTGGGTAGGTTTTACCTGTAAGACACATTTTACCATTGATCCTTGATCTAAAGTAGATATGAAGTGAAGAAAAGCTTATCAGAGAAGGTATTACCTTTATTTGTATATTTTAAAGGATAGAGAAATCACCAGGGTTTTTAAACAAAGTCTAATGATGAGGAAAGATATTTCAGTTTGAGGAATCAGGGTAGTATAGAAAATGGCCAGAAATCATATAATTTTATGTAATTCTGTAAAAACATCAATTTGGTAAAAAGTTAACATTTCTCTGTTTTTTTTTCCTTAAGTATTATAACCTTGGTGGATTAAGAAGAGGAGTTTTATGATTTCTGTATGGTCTTTTCTTTTTACAAAAATAGCATGTGATCAGAAGAACTACTGATAACCTTGAAGTATGTATCTTTTAAAATCCTTCTTGCATATTTGAACACACATGAAACTATTTTTTCTATGAAAATGTAAAGATAGCTTATATACCATTATACCACCCACATTTTATTTAATCAATTTCACCAGCTATCAAATAAATATTTAGATTATTTTGATTAGTTTTCCGGTGTTGGGTATTTTGTCTGTTCCAACTCATCTCTTAGCATTTGATTATTCTAACCTTTCAATTTCCCAAAACCCTTAGAAGAAATGATTGGTTGAAAAATCACAGCTGAAACATTGTTTTCCAGATAGAACAGAGTCCAGGGGCATCCCTGTGGTACACCAACACTGGAAATTAGATTTCAACCTAACTGTCGTGTTTACCAAGTTGCTCTCAGCTAAATTACATGCCTATCTGACCCATGGACATGTGGTAAGCACATTTCAAAAAGCCAGTAAACTTTTCTAGGTCTAAACAAAAGGCCTGAACAAGTTAGTGAAAGCTAAAGAATATGTACCCAACTATGAAAGCCATGAGAAGCATTAAAGGATTGTAAAAGGGGGAGCAGCATGATATTTTAAAAACAACATGTTTATGATCTAAAAACATGACTTGTACAACTCAGGGAAGGATAGATTTAGTGAGGCCAGGAAGAAGAGTTAGGAGATCATTTTTATAATCGAAGAATGAAGTAAAGGATGAAAACTTGAACTGTGGATGCTGTATAGGTGTGCTCAGGTGAGAACAGATGGAATAGACATTAAGAAAGCGTAAACTAATCTGAATTTAGTTACTAGTTAGATAGAGATGGCAGGGGACAATGCAAAAAAAAAGGATCTATGTGGGTATCTGCATTCCTGGCTATGTGATTTGAATGGCCCCAATTGCCACAAAGTGGAATAAGAATATAGCAGGAACAGGTGTTAGGGGAGGAAAATGGGTTCAATTAAAAATACCTTTCTGAGGTGCCTGTCCACCTGACTGTGAGGGTCTAGAATCCTGATGGTGGCATTTGTGCTGAAAGTAGAATTTGGAGGCTTGTGTGGTCTCAGTGGCATTTAAAGATAAGGATTTGACAAGGTCACCCCGGGGGGGGGGGGGGGGGAAGTGTGGAGAACTGAGAGACTGTATGAGCAGAGAGAGTGGAAGAAATCAGACAGAATATTCCAAAGCAGAGAGCTGAACTAGGGAAGGAGTAGTCAATGGCATGAAATGACTCATTG